AGGTATAATTTTTGAGCAAAATACGTGAAATTTCATACTAAAAGTTGATTTTTTTAGGTATTTTGATGGAAGAAAACAACAATAACACCGTTCATGCTTCAGATTCAGTTGATAAATCTAGGATTGTTGAAGCCAAACCCTTGCGTAGTTTAGCTCCTGTATTGCCAAACCATATTCAATCTTGTTTTCCTGCAAATTATCCATCTGGGTTTCCTCCATTTTGTTCATTTGAGAAACCCCGAGAAATTCCTATTCCAAAAGGAGTTGAGGAAATTGCTGTTGATGCCAAAACAGCTGAGGAAATTCCCGGTTCCGCGAAAGAAAAAACTCGAGAAACTCCTGTTGCTGCTAATGTGACTCCAATAAGGTTCTACAAGAGTTCGGTTGACGAGGAAGTGAATCCACGAGGGGGCGGAGATGTTAATTTGTTTTCGAAAGGGTTGAATTGCGATGAGTTTGTTGATGATAGAGTGAAGCGAGGTGCGCAGAATATACAGAATTGTAAAGAGTTTCTTAAGAGGAAGAAGAATAAAAAAACTCGGGAGGCTGGCGTAGATGGTCAAAGTTCTAGTGTTGGTGTTAACCCGTCTCTAAATGACGATGGTAATCATGAATCGGTTAATCATGTGCTCATGACGTTTGATTCGGTTCGAAGAAGGTTATGCCAGCTTGAAGATTCAAAGGAACTGAATAGTTCGCTTTCCATCAAGCGTGCGGATCTCAGAGCAAGCAATAGTTTGACGTTGAAAGGGGTTAAAACGAATTTGAGGAGAAGAGCGGGAGCGGTGCCTGGGATTGAGGTTGGGGATATTTTCTTTTTTCGAATGGAAATGTGTCTTGTGGGTTTGCATGGTCAATCGATGGGTGGAATTGATTACATGAGCATCAAGGACGGGTCTAAGGAGGATACTGTGGCGTTAAGTGTTGTTTCATCGGGAGTGTATGGTGATGATACGGAGGATAATGATGTTTTAGTTTATAGTGGTCAAGGTGAGAATTTCAACAAGAAAGATAAGCATGTGACTGATCAGAAGCTCCAAAGGGGTAATCTTGCTTTGGACAGAAGTGCGCAACGACACGACGAAGTTAGAGTCATTCGGGGATTGAGAGATGCTACGAATAGAAGTGCAAAAATCTATATGTATGATGGTTTGTATAAAATCCAAGATTCTTGGATTGAAAGAGGGAAATCTGGCGGTGGTATATTTAAGTATAAGTTGGTAAGGTTGCCTGGACAAAAAAGTGCTTTTGCTGCTTGGAAATTGATTCAAAAGTGGAAATCAGGTTCTGCTTCAAGGAATGGTTTTATTCTAGCTGACCTCTCCAATGGAGTTGAAAGCATTCCAGTATCACTTGTCAATGATGTTGATGATGAAAGAGGTCCTGCCTTTTTCACTTATTTCATGTCTCTGACAAAACCGAAACCTTTTGGTTTAGTGCAGCCTTCGCTTGGCTGCAATTGTAAAGCATCATGCCTCCCTGGTGATTTGAACTGTTCTTGCATTCAAAGAAATGAAGGTGATTTTCCGTACACTGCAAATAGTATTCTAGTGAGTCGGAAGCCGCTGATTCATGAATGCGGCACTATGTGTCGGTGTCTTCCTAACTGCAAAAATCGAGTATCGCAGACTGGTTTAAAGCAACACGTGGAAGTTTTCAAAACAAGGGATAGGGGCTGGGGGCTTCGGACACTGGATCCTATTCGTGCTGGTAGCTTTATTTGCGAGTATGCAGGCGAAGTTATTGACAGAGCTAAAGTATGTCAGAATGATGAAGGAGATAATGATGAATATATTTTCGACACAAGTCGTATTTATCAACCATTCAAGTGGAATCATGACCATGGCTTACTGGGAGATGGAAGTTCAAATGTTTCAAGTGAGGATTATACTATACCATCTCCTCTCATTATAAGTGCCAAGAATGTGGGAAATGTGGGTAGATTCATGAACCATAGTTGCTCCCCGAATGTGTTTTGGCAGCCAGTCCTATATGCGGAAAACAATCAATCCTTTCTCCACATTGCGTTTTTTGCCCTTAAACATATTCCTCCTATGGCAGAGTTAACATATGATTATGGATTTGTCCTTGCTGGTCATGCCGAGGGTAGTAGTGCACACAGAAGGAAAATGAAATGCTTGTGTGAATCACCAAAGTGCCGTGGTTTCTTTGGTTAACATTTTGTTGCAGTTGCTAGCAGCTAACATGGTTCTTGAAAGCCTCGTGGCTTAATGAGGTTCGTGGATCTATTGCACGTTTTCAATGTACTTTGATATTTATATTGAATGCATACCGATTTTAAAGCTCTTTTGTATAAGCTAGTGATAAGTTGTTTGAAATATGCATGAATGTGATAGAAACTGGTACCTATAGTGAATGAATCAAGGAAAAGAAAACAGAAATGATAGTACAATCCTTTGCAGAATTTGTCTAGCACAACAGTTTATATTATTTAGACAGATTTAACACACCTATACATCAGAGAAAGTGATGGAATAGATATAAAGCAATTCCTATCCAATAAATTTGAGAGTCTTCGTCTCTCCCTTCAAAAAATTTGAGAGCTTGGTCTCTCCCATCCAAAACCACTCAATAGCTATCTCATAATCAGTTTCTCCCTTGCTTTCTCTATTTATCCCTAAAATTAAACAATTTAACTGACATAATAACTTCTCAGAACTGTCTTTAACCACCATTGTAAGAAGTCTAACAGAATGATTTTCTAGGAGTATTATATAGGTGCTTATTTTGACAATGCAATCAAATATTTAAGAATGAAATCAGGGCGTGCGACCTAAACTTTTTGAGGTGATATATACTAATCTTTAGGCACCAAACACAGGGATAGAAGTGTTTATAGATTTGCTGTGCTTATAAAAGACTTAGATCATGAAAAACATATTAAGAGCTTGAACGGTAGTCTTATTGACTTGAAAAAAAAGGAAAACTTGATTTCATACCTTTTGTTGTAAAAATGATTTTGACATATTTGGATTCTCTAAAGTAGAATTGTTTTGTCTAAATATTGATTCTAACTTGAGGTTAGAACTTGGAGCTTTTGCCTCTACAATTGATTTTTGGACTCAAATTTATCGTTGGACTCACTTTTATATGAATGCATCAAAACATAAATCACTTTATATTCAACTCACTTATATATGAATGCATCAAAACATAAATCATTTTATATTCAACTCACTTTTATTCCGAGTCAAGTTTATAAAATCAATTAATTTAAAATAAATTTTTATTACCGCAAAACCAGACACACTAATTAAATTCTACCAAACGGCCCTTAATTGGTATACTAGAAGTAAGGTGCAGTGTATACAATGCAAGTTTAGCAAGACATGCTAGCTTTGACTTATAGTTGAAAATCGATGAATGAAGATCCTGCTACACCAAAGGTTACACGGTCAGGTGCTTTTGATCTTTACGGAGAAAAAGATTTAGGTCATATGATCAAGTTAGCTGATAAAATGAACTGTAGGCCATATGATCAGGTTACATAGTTTTGGGTGTTATTTATGATAGAAAGGTACCTATTAAACTCAAAGGTAATTGTTCAGAGATGAGAATGTTGTGGTGGATGAGTGGAAATATGAGAGAAAGTATAGTTTAGTAATAAATGTGATTGATAGACGATAGGAGTAACACTTGTCACCTATGAAGCACGGGCACCCCGAACACAAAACCGACACGGCGACACTGGTAATAATTTAAAAAAATAAATAAATTAAACGTAATCACAAGTGTCAGTATATGTGTCCAACAGTGACACGGACACGCATTTTTTCAGAGGTGTCGGTTTTAAAAAGATAATAATGTTTTCTAGAGATGATTTGACCATGTAAGATAGATAAAGATATGAAAAAATAAATGCCAAGAAAGAACCAATAAAATTGACTGAATTCTGAAAGGACCAAGATCCTCTCCAACATGCACTCTTCTCCAATTGTAGAGTATCTGATCTCGTTCTGAAGGACCCAAGTGAAACTTTGGTATTACATGTGCACCGTGCTATAGTGCGGAAATGCATAAGTTGTTATTGTTGTTCATGTGCTATTGGGATGTGCATTTGTTTTGGACTGGTGCAGTTTCGCATGTTAATTGATGTTTTCTCTGTTGTCTTCATGTAAAATATGTTAACGGAGCATATCAAAATCTTATTGAACATGCTTTAAGATTATGCATGGATCTCACACACATGTTCACATGTATGCAAATGTTTATGCTTATCATTATCTACCAACTGAGTTGAGATTCTCTTCATTTCTTAAAAGAAATTATCTATCTCATTAAGGCCAATTTCTTGAAGTCTTACATGTGCATACTCTATATGACAGATGAGGAAATTCAATGTCAAGAGCCAGATTCAGCTTGGAGGCTCCAACTTAGTGTATGCTTACTTCCAAATATCACTACTGTGAAGGGTAGATTTTATTTATTCAAAATTAATCACGTTGATCCACAAGCATTGCTATTTCTTGGCTCTGACTTGGAATATCTGGCTCTGACTTGGAATATCCTGCCCTATTCCTAATTTTAAGAGCAAAATTTTGGTGAGTTGAATGGTCATGAACGCTTGAAAGTATCATCGACATTCTGATCTTTATCTGGGATTTGTTGTAATTTAGTAATTACTGTTGATGTTGATTATTTGTTATAATGTAGTATTTTGCATCTGAGATTATTGTAGAAAACAAGAAAGACAATGAAGATTTTATTAGTGATGTCACTTTCAGCTTGAGAATCTTGATTCCAAAAGAGAATCAACAAAAACTCTCAGCTTTTCTATTTCCTTACAAGTTGCAACTATCCTTCTATTGTCTTCTTTTTTATTTTCATTCTTATGCAACGTTTTTCACTCGCTGTTATACATTTAATTGCTACTAGCAATTTAGAAACAAAGAACAAGACTAATGATGCATTGAATTGCCTTCGGTGGTCCTCAATAATGACCTAGTGAGACTGCATAGCTCTAGCAAAGTTGTCTATTTTCAGTGTAACTGATCTGAAAGTGTTTTCTTCTTTTCACCGAGGAATGGTTTGAACATCATAAGTATTCCAATTCCTTCAACCACATTCAAAAAGAAAAACACCATATGGGTACCTGCAGTTAAATGTGCAATAGTAAGTTACCAAGTAATACATCTAGCAAACACAGAAAACTCTTACTCTATATATGTATGAAATGTTGAGAATCATACCTGGGAGGAAAGCAGCATCTCTACGCTTTTGCGACCAAGTTAATCTGTGTTGACCAAGATCATAAGAAGAAAATTAAAGATGAATTTTGTGTTAACTCCACAGATATCTAAATTGAAAAGTAACTAGAAATTGTGTGAGAAATTAGAGGAAAATACTCACATTGTACCACCTGCAGCAGGTCCAATAGCTTTGAATAGAGACATAGCTGTCATCGATATACCATTAGCTGCCCCTCTTTGCTCTTGTTCCTGTTTTCCAATTCAACAATTTTATCAAAAACTAATATCAAACTTTTTGTGTATAAACAATTTTTTTTTAATGAAATACACTTACCACTACTCGATTTTGTACGAGGAATAAACCTGTTGTAATTGTCACCTATAAGTCCATCATAAGGAATACTATCGGTCAAATTTGTAATAGAAATAATAATCTTTTCTCACCAAATGAAGAAATGAACTTACACATATAATATTCTGGAGGATGGAAGCAATACTAATGAATATGTATAAGGATATGCCTGACAACATTGCTAAGAAGGGATAACTTTGCAAAAGTGGTATTGAAAATATCTGCATATGAAACATCCATTGTAACGTAACATAATTCAACTGACAAGAAGTGAAATGCAGAATTTCAATAATTGCCACAATAAGATGAAACTAACCCCTGTGATTCTGGCAATTCCAACAGGTCCACAAGCTTTTTCCATATATTGGTATACGGTTAGTTGGTAGATCACAAGTGCTAGACCTGAAAATTTCAGAAGTTAGTAAAAGTACAAAATGTTTATTTTGTAATAATAGGAATACAAATTGTTCAAGGGTCTAAAAATGCACCTGAAATTGCAAGAACATTACCAACATCATCAGTTGTGAAGTTCAAACCTCCTAGACTTGGAGGACTAACACACCACAAAGAGAAAACCTAAAGAAAACAGATAAAAAAGCATGAGATTCCAAAAACTATATATTTATTTTAATCTCATTAATTTGAAATTTACCTCTTGATAAGCAATATCATGAAGTGAGAAGACACAGTAAGCAATTATAGATGACATTAAGGGCCAATTCATGAAGAGACTTTCACTCTTTTGGACTGTCTTTTCTTTCTCAACCTTGTTGCTTCCATTTTCTAAAGCTTCAGCATCATCCGTTGACACATTGCCACCCTTGTGATTGTGAATTGTTTCCTGTATGCAGTTTAAAGTATGAAATGACAGCATAAAAGTGTTGAAAATAAAAGCCATAAAAAATAAAGATACATACCGGCATCCACAAACAGACAATAACAACTACCAATGAAACCGCCGATATTATGAAGCTTGGCAAGGAGTAAGGATACCTAAATCAATAGAAACACAAGATCAGAGCCGAGCCAAAGTTAAATCCTTAATAAAGTTAAAATGTAAGAAAAATTCACTTACTTATCCCAAAAGGAACCCTTTGGAAATATATGTGGGTATTTCTCAGCTGGCTGCAAGAAGAAAATAGGAGAGTGATAGTTAAAAGAATAATGTTATGCGTATGTACATTCTTTTCGGAAAATCTGTCTTTCTAATGGTTTGACACTAAACAGAATGCTGAATCAGTATATGTATACCAATACTTTTGATTCAGTTCGGTTCTAAGCAACTTGGAGCGGTTGTTCAAATGGCATTTTACTATGATTCATTTCGACCGGTTTTCTAATTGAACTGGTACCAGGAACAGCCATAATTGTGAAAGCAAAGAATAAATATAGTACCTGAGCCAAATAACCTCCCAATGCTGGTCCAATGATTAAACCTGTTCCCCAAGCTACACTCACCTAAAACCAAATATCACACTTACAATCATTATGATTATAATGGAATTCATTATCATTAAGAGCTCATATTGTACAGATTTTTAAATTATAGTTGTAATGCAGTTGCAAAGACATATAGAATACAGATGTTGTGGCCTTAATCACAGTTGCAGACCGTTTTTATAGTATATAATCGCTGGTGAGTGGTGAGACTTACCGTTGAGAGTCCAAGAGCTTGGTGTTCTTCTCGAAAAATTTCAGTAGCATAAGCCTATTACATAGAGGAGTTTTGTCAAATACCTGGTGCAGTAGATGAAAAAAATAAAAAACTTGTAGTACCTTAGTTGGTCCAATTGCACCATTCAAACATCCTAAAAGAAATCTTGTGATAACCGCCATCCAAAAACTTGAACTAATGCCAAATAGCGTGTTGAAAATTACACTGAAATCAAGTGAACTTTAAGTGATTACAGAAAACAACACATTCATATGCTACAAAAAAACGTCTAATTCATTGATATACATATATACTCACACTGAGAAAACGCCGATAACCATAACAGGTTTTCGACCACATCGATCAGAAACCATTCCCCATAATACAGATGTTAAAGTTCTTCCAAGCATGAATGATGATCCTACAACATTTTCAAATTTCAATCATCATCACTGAACTGAAACATCTTATAAGAAAGACTTAAAAGAAATGATATAATAAACATAATCTTACCTACATAACCAGCATAGTAACTAATATCCGCCTCAGATTTGGCAATTTTAAAGTCCTTAATCTGAACATAAATTATTCAATGAACCTGAAGAAAGAATGGTTATAATAGTGATAAGAGAAGTATAGAGTAAACTCACCATGAAATAAAGGAATGGAAAGAGTGATGATGCAGGAAGTGCTGAAGATGAAAAAAGAAATAGAGATGAGAGAAAAAGTAAGCAGTGAGAAGATGAAATAGTGTAGAAGATGAATATTGGTTACTTGAAGATAAGACGACCATCCAAATGATGAAAAGATTTGTAACAGATACACCATGATTAAGCTCTTTTGCTTGTTCAACTTTACAACCAGGACAATCTTTGTAGTAATGGTGATTCTTCAACAATGGCTCTCTCATATTATCCACACTCATCTTTCTTTCTTTTTCTCTATATCAGTTTTTGATTTATGTGTAACACATGTAGAACAAGATTGATTGGTTACAGAAAGATTGATTAGTTTCTTTTTTAATTTCCATCATGTGAAAAACATGTGGTTGAGGAGATATTTTGAGTTTCTGGAGATAATCTTGGAGTTCAAGAATTGAATATCACCGAGATAAGGCTTATTCTCTCACATGTCAAAAATATTTTATTATTATTATTATTATTATTATTATTATTATTATTATTATTATTATTATTATTATTATTATTATTATTATTATTATTATTATTATTATTATTATTATTATTATTATTATTATTATTATTATTATTATTATTATTATTATTATTATTATTATTATTATTATTATTATTATTATTATTATTATTATTATTATTATTATTATTATTATTATTATTATTATTATTATTATTATTATTATTATTATTATTATTATTATTATTATTATTATTATTATTATTATTATTATTATTATTTATTATTATTATTATTATTATTATTATTATTATTTATTATTATTATTATTATTATTATTATTATTATTATTATTATTATTATTATTATTATTATTATTATTATTATTATTATTATTATTATTATTATTATTATTATTATTATTATTATTATTATTATTATTATTATTATTATTATTATTATTATTATTATTATTATTATTATTATTATTATTATTATTATTATTATTATTATTATTATTATTATTATTATTATTATTATTATTATTATTATTATTATTATTATTATTATTATTATTATTATTATTATTATTATTATTATTATTATTATTATTATTATTATTATTATTATTATTATTATTATTATTATTATTATTATTATTATTATTATTATTATTATTATTATTATTATTATTATTATTATTATTATTATTATTATTATTATTATTATTATTATTATTATTATTATTATTATTATTATTATTATTATTATTATTATTATTATTATTATTATTATTATTATTATTATTATTATTATTATTATTATTATTATTATTATTATTATTATTATTATTATTATTATTATTATTATTATTATTATTATTATTATTATTATTATTATTATTATTATTATTATTATTATTATTATTATTATTATTATTATTATTATTATTATTATTATTATTATTATTATTATTATTATTATTATTATTATTATTATTATTATTATTATTATTATTATTATTATTATTATTATTATTATTATTATTATTATTATTATTATTATTATTATTATTATTATTATTATTATTATTATTATTATTATTATTATTATTATTATTATTATTATTATTATTATTATTATTATTATTATTATTATTTTGATCTTATTATTTTAAAAAAAATAGCTTTGATGTTCATTTTCAATTGTCTTCTATGTCTATATAATTTTGATTATATATTAATTTTATAATTATTTTTTAAATATATGAACTTATAAATTGTAGTTTCAAAATTTGGTAAACAAAGTTTAATAAAGATGTGTTTGATTTGTTAAAAAACAGAGATTAGATTTAAAAATAAGATTAGAAAACTCAAAATTTTATCCCTCACTAAACCATGAGACAACTTTTTGTCCATTATACAAGTTATTTAAAATACAAAAATATTCTTTTATTTTTTAATAATAATATATATTCTCTCTCTTTCTCTCTCTCATTCTTCTCTATGAATATTTACAATGTGAAAATACTCTTTTATCCATAGTATAAGTTATTTAAAAGACAAAAATACTCTTTTATTTCTTACTAGTACAAGTTATTTAAAATACAGAAATACCATTTTATTTTTCAAAAAAATATATATTCTCTATCTCATTCTTCTCTATTACTCCTTCCGGTCTTTTTTATAAAAGACATTTCACTTTTCTAGATTAATTAAATAATTAATATTTTTGAATTGTTTATGGACCATGTACATTAACTATTTAATAAATCTAAAAAAGTGAAGTATTTCTTATAAAAAGTACCAGAAGAAGTAATGTTTACAATGTGAAAATACTCTTTTGTCTCTAGTACAAAATTATTTAAAAAACGAAAATATCTTTTTTTTCCACTGACACAATTTATTTAAAATATATAAATACTCTTTTATTTTATACTAAAAATATATATTCTCTCTCTCTCTCTCATTCTTCTCTATTAATATTTACAATATGAAAATACTCTTTTGACCTTGGTACAATTTATTAAAAGAAGAAAACACTTATATATATATATAGTATATATATATATATATATATATATATATATATATATATATATATATATATATATATATATATATATATATATAATATATATATATATATATATATATATATATATATATATATATATTCTAGACTATTTTAATGACTAGAATTGGCTCAATCTGCTCCTACTTTCAACATGGCCCAACAACTTTGACCCACTAGCTCCGGCCTTTCAGTTAGGCACGCTTGATCGACTGCATCCCATGAACGGAGAGACCAACGATACCCTGAGCCATGCGCCTGTCCGCATCGGTAACTACCTCCAGGTATGCTCGACACACGTGGAGCAGACAACCAGGAAACGTCCATAACGCATCTGCCCGTAATCTTTACCTTGCTCGGAGCAACGGTTAGTTACGAGCATGACTGCCCGTTTTGACTGAGTCTTGACGGTTATCTATTTTTGAGGAACCTAATATCTACACCCAAAAAATAGAACCAATGGCCAAGTGTCGGTGGCACTATATAAAACCCTCACACTTGTGAGGGCTAGATATCTAATATCCACTCTGAAAATCCTAATATCTTTCTTGTATCTCTTTGCACTCTTTCTTACTTAAGCGTCGGAGTACCTTGCAGGTACACCCCCTCATCTCCTCAAATTTATAGTCAAGTAGACATCATCCCATCGGCCCACTTCAGGTTTTGATCAACTGGCAAATTCAATGGCATCGTCTGTGGGAAACTGTCTTCCCCATCTTCCTTTTCCTCAAAACTGAAGACCAAAGCGACTTTCACGACTTCTAACATGGCCGACCATGATGACAACCACTTTTTTGGGAAGATTGTGCTATCCCCCATCCACAAGATGAATGGGAATGAAGAACCTTCTCATCTCGAGGATATCCCCGACATCAAAGATGGCCGAACTACGTCTCCCGACTCGGTTGACGCCAATCACAAAGACATTCATTTCTTGGAGAACCAGAGGTCCAAGAAGTTCACCGAAGAGGAACTGCCAACAATCCTTCAACCAATTATGATCCCACCCAATGTCGACTCGACCATGGCAGCTTTACTCGTTACCCTCAATCAGACCAACACTCTGATCCTACAATAAAGCAACCAGATTAGGGCTTGAGAAAAGAAGCAGTCAAAGTCCCCTCCTCTGAGACACCAGTGTCATGACTCCCGTAGTTTGTCACTACCAAGGCGTGGCCGTCTTCTCACGCGGGAGATTCAAGAGGTTTCTTTCCTAAAAAAAAAAAGAGGTCGCACGTCGCCCCATAAAGAGAGACGCTCCACAATCACCAAGAAGACTAAGGGTGATCAACGACCGGACAACGAGTGTTCACCATCACCCATACCAAGGAGCAATCGGAAGAGCATGTCTCCTTATTGGGATAACAACCCCCACGAACCTAAGCTAACTGTTGAGTATCTACTTTCAATGCTTTCAGCTTTTTCTCTACTTCTGCAACAACTGTTTCTTTAATTCTGAGTTTTTTATTGGCCTCCAACTTCAAATCAATCACTCCACCTGGTTTGCTTACAACTCTGTCATACAGCTCCAAATGTTCGTTTGCAGCAATTGTTTTAATTATCTTCTTAATACCGGTGGTTGTTGAAAAATTGGATGAGCCACCGGCTGTTGTATTAATAAGCTGTTTGTCTTCATTTTGAGACCATTTACAAACATTTGCATTTGTTCAGTTTGATCCATATTGTGAGTGGGACAAGCTACCAACAACCTCTTGAACCTCTTATAAGGATCACCTAGTGACTATCACTCTTTCTGCTTAAAATTCACAATATCATATCTTTTGCAAATATAAATAGAAGCAGAAAAGTATTCATCAAGAAATTTTTTCTCCATCTCTTCTCAAGTAGTAATACTCCCAACATGTAATGAGTAAAACCACTCTTCAGCATCTTCAGAAAGTATGAACGAAAACATTCTTAATTTATTTGCTTCTTCAGAGTTTCCCTCAATCTTCAAAGTAGTACTCATGGTGAGGAACATATGCAAGTGTTTATTGGCATCTTCATTGATCTTTCCGGTGAAAGATCTCCTCTCAAGTTGAGTGATTATGCTCAGATACAGTAGAAAATTTGGCACAGTCACCAGTTGGTTTATAATTGTCAGTCTACCAGCCAGTGCATTTGTACCACCATAGTCACCAAGTAGCCTCTCAAGTGCTAGTGGATTTTCTCCCATTGGTATTTCCTCTTCTGATTTCAACTCTATCTCTGTATGAATTGAATGTTCTTCCTCGGAGGCCAGTCTGGCTAATCGAGCTCATCTATGCCTTACATGAAATTTTTTTCGATCTCTGTGTCAAAAGGAAATTCAGCTGAGGGTTTTCCTCGCATACAAAGATTAGACAAAAATTAGAAATAAAAATATTAAAATAATAGAAAATAAAATTTTAGTTGAAGAGCAACAAAATTCCAATTGAACTCAAATCAAACTCTATATTTTGACAGTTGATAACACGAAATTTCATTGTATTTTCGACTCGACTCACATGAATTATTTTACCATTTTTAGTCATTTATTTCATTTTATGCATGTAGTATTACTGTATTTCAGGTGTTTTTCCTCGAAGAAGCTTGCATGAGAAAATAAGAGGAATTGACAAAGAAAACGCAAGAAAACATAAAGTAACATAAGAGATATAGAAAATCTCCACACATAAGGTTGTGGCCCTCGCCATACATGTAAAAGACGTGGCCATC